AGATGACTATGTACAGGATATTTTGTTGTTACATTTCGAGTTACAAGTCAGATGACTATATACAAGATATTTTGTTGTTACATTTGTAGTTACAAGTCAGATGACTATATACAAGACATTTTGTTGTTACATTTGTAGTTACAAGTCAGATGACTATATACAACATATTTTGTTGTTACATTTGTAGTTACAAGTCAGATGACTATATACAAGATATTTTGTTGTTACATTTGTAGTTACAAGTCAGATGATTACATACAACATATTTTGTTGTTACATTTGTAGTTACAAGTCAGATGATTACATACAACATATTTTGTTGTTACATTTGTAGTTACAAGTCATATGATTATGTACAGGATATTTTGTTGTTACATTTGTAGTTACAAGTCAGATGATTACATACAAGATATTTTGTTGTTACATTTGTAGTTACAAGTCAGATGATTACATACAAGATATTTTGTTGTTACATTTGTAGTTACAAGTCAGATGATTATATACAAGATATTTTAAAGATCAAGACTAATGAGCCTCTCACCAGTCTTAGATGCAAGATTCTTTTTTTGGACAGCTACTTGAGACTGTGAGCGAGAGTCATGAGATGCCAAAGATGCAGTGGACATCTCGCTAGGTGGTGCAGGAGAAACAGAGAGAGTTGGAGACATGGCTGACTTAGTTGTAAGGGAATTTTTCAAGTTCTCACTGTTCACTGAAATATAATCTAAAACCAAAATTAATGAATAATTCATCATGTCACCAAAATTAATGAGTAATGCATGATGTCATAATTAATATATTTAACCACAGAGAATTCCTTCATTGTTTCATCGAGTTCAAAGTTCAGTTCCATAACTGATACTATTACAAAAGAATGCTGTTTAACAACAACTTTATTTAGTGATTTCTTAAGTTGAAGTTTTAGAAACAAAGATGACACTAGTTGTCGTCAAAGAAAAAGTTAGACAATCTATCAAGTGACACTTTTACTTTTATTAGTGACAAGTTTCAGTAACAGTGCAACAATTTACGACATTTATAAAATCACGATAGCTACAACTACATTCACCTTGTTATTGAAAGTTTGTGAAAATATAATTAAATTTAACTCACTAGATGGCAGGGCCTCACTTAGACTGGATGTAAAGTTTAGGGTGCTGCTACGTGATATTGACGATAAGTTATTATCTTCATGCGAGTACAACGAATCCATGATAATAGGACTTACACAGATTTGTTCTTGTGACCTGAAGGAAAAATAATACATCAATTACTTTTCATTTTGACTTTAACGAATGGCTTCATGCCATGTTTACGATAAAACTTGAAAACGGGTTGACAAATGTCCCAAAACTCTCACATAATCAGGACAAACTGTAAAATGTAACATCCATTGACTTTGACAATTCTGATGACCTACAAATATCCCAGAAATGGTATAACCACAAAAAATCTATTAATCTCCCGGAAACGGAATAACCAAGACTTAGAAATCTCTTGAAATTGGTATAGCCAAGAAAATTGTAGTAATTTCTCAGAAATGGTATAACCAAGATCTACAAATCTCCTCGAAATAGCTCAAGACCTAGAAATTTCCCTAAAACGGTATGACCAAGACCCAGAAATCTCCCAACAATGGTATCACCAAGACCCCAGAAATCTACTAAAAACGGTATAACCACGACCCAAAAATATCTGTAAAACGGTATAACCAAGACCCAGAAATCTACTAAAAACGGTATAACCACGACCCAGAAATATCTGTAAAACGGTATAACCAAGACCAAGAAATATCTTTAAAACAGTACAACCAAGACCCAAATTTACTAGAAACGGTATAACCACGACCCAGAAATATCAGTAAAACGGTATAACGAAGACCAAGAAATATCTTTAAAACGGTATAACCACGACCCAGAAATCTACTAAAAACGGTATAACCACGACCAAGAAATATCTTTAAAACACTACAACCAAGACATAAAAATATCATAAAAACGGTGTAACCAAGACCTAGAAATATCTTTAAAAGAGTACAACTAAGACCTAGAAAATACCCAAAAATGGTATAACCAAGACCTAAAAATCTCGCCGTAATGATATCTCGAGACCTAAAAATCTCCGAAAATGGTATAGCCGAAACAAATCTAGTATTCTTCCCGAAACAACATAACCAAGATCTACAGTTCTCCCTGAAATACTATCTCAAGACCTAAAAAATATAGTAATATCGCAAAAATGGTATAACCAAGACCTAGAAATAGTCCCAGAAATGATATCTCAATACCTAGAAACCTCCTCAAAATGGAATAGCAAAAACGATTCTAGTAAACTCCCAAAAACGTTATTACCAAGATTTACAAATCTCCCAGAAACGTTACAACAAAGAACTAGAAATCTAGAAACAGTAGAAGGAATATACCTTACTAACTCACCTCTGTAACTTGGATAACAGTAGAAGGAATATACCTTGAAGAACTCACCTCTGTGACTTGGATAACAGTAGAAGGAATATACCTAAAGAACTCACCTCTGTGACTTGGATAACAGTAGAAGGAATATACCTTAATAACTCACCTCTGTGACTTGGATAACAGTAGAAGGAATATACCTAAAGAACTCACCTCTGTGACTTGGATGCATTTCTAGACTTTTTTGAAAGCTTTGATTGTCTACCACTTATGGAATTCCCTTCATTGACAGATGTATCTGGTTTAGTTGTAAAGGACTTTTTTTCTTGAGGTTGTCGAGCTAATGCTAGATTTGTGTCAATTCTACTCTTTATTTCTTTCTTTGTCTTCGGTTTTGACTTCTCTTCATCCAAGCTTGCCTTTATTTTTGATGTTACAGCATCCCAGCGGCTTTTCTTTGGTGTCTTCTTCGTCTCTCCCTCAGTGGTTTCAGTTTTGTTTTTTTTTACCGATGTAGATTCAATCATGGCTTTGATTTTGGACATTACGTTCTTCTTTGGTGTCTTGGGCTTCTTTTTTGGTTCTTCCATCACTGTATTTTTACCTGACTTATCAGTTAATGACAAAGATTCGTCTTTATTAGTCTTCTTTTCTTGTTTGATTTTATTATCAGGAGTCTTGTCTTTGATTTGGTCCTTAACAGAGCCGTCAGTGATTGGGTGATTAGCAGGAATAGTCGAACTACTAACTTCAGTGCTTGTAGTATCTATAACAAAAGAAGATGTTCTTATTATGACCGGGGATAAGCTATCCTCCATTTTTACTTCGTTAGTAAATGCTGTAATTGAAAAAATATCACCGTTTTCTTGACACCTTAACATCTCTTTTGACTCGTTCGTAATTTTACCTTCCCATTTGATATCATCTTGGATTTTGTCTGGACTTTCACGAGTCACTTCGTATTGTTGTGATCCAAGTTGTTTACTTTCTTCTTCTGTGATCATTTCTTCAAAATACATTTCATTTCTACTCCTCAACTGTTGTTCAATATCTGGTCCTAATGACACCGTTCCACTGTCTTCGCTGTAAGTTGAAAATCGCATATTGTATTCTTCTCCAACCTCCAAGTCCAAATCACCCTGGAAACCAGTATCAGCACTGCATACAGTGTATGTGGAAAGAGGGCGTTCCTTAGAATCAAATGACGTTTCTCTACTGAACACTTGGTCTTCATTCACTGGAACAAATACTTTGCTGTTGGTCATTTCGTTTGACCTTTCAGTATGATTACTTATTTCCTGGTTGCATGTAACTGGTTTATCACGAGTGTCAGATTTGTCACTGTCTAGTTGCTTCAGATTCAATGAGTCCAAAAGCCTCCCTTCGTTCATTATATCTTCCGATACCCGAGAAGGCCTAGCGCTAGCTATTACTAAAGTATTCTCTATCAAACCACCTACAGAAGAGTAACTTTCTTGTATTAAAGTAAGACTAGGAAGTTCCTGATCTTCGACCCTAGAAACATCTTGTTCTTTACAAACTCCATCTTTAAAATACTCATTCTCTAATATTTTAATTGGTAACTTGCCAAGACTATCCGCCTGACCTGGAGGTGTGGAAACTTCTTCATTCAAGTGTTGACTCAGGCTATTTTCCAAACCATATTCCACACTTTGAAGAAGCAGGTTGCGAGTTGAAGACTTTTCATATACGCTAGAGGGCGTGGAAGTGTGGATGGCATCTTCGGCAAAATAGTTAACGGAATCTGATTTGTCATCAGTTAATTCAGGTAAGCATTCCAAAGATCCCTGTGGATCCCTGGTCATTATTTTATCAGTAGACAAAGAGTTCTTGCTTTCTTGGGTTAAGGTGTTAGCGTCTTCTGCTGTAGAGCAGGTGTTATGTTGAGTATCTTGACTGCTGGTGTCCCTGTACTCTATGGTTACATCTTCCACCATTTCGGACTCGGGTAGCTCATTCATCTCATCACAAGAAAATGTTTTTGGAAGCATCACTGCATCAAGCTCGGCAATAAGGGAGTGGTGTTCGCTATACAGAGTAAAGTCTTTCATCTGATTAGGAGTTAAAATTCCAAGACTGTCTTCAAAATCAAGAGACAAACCATCATCATACTCATCGTCTCCTTCAGAAATATAATCTAAATTATGCCCTTCAATCTGGTTTAGGAACTCTCCTGGGCGACGCATTAAGTATTCAGTAATATGGGGCTGTTCTTCCAAGTTGAAGGTTGTGTTGGCTTCATTACCCTCAGAAGTGGGAAATGGTGGAGACTCTTGAGTGTTAACAGAATTCAAACAAGGTGTATATTCCAAGTCAAAGGTTGAATTCAATTTTTCAGTGGGTTGGTTAGTTGAAGTACTGTCAAATGTTATATTGTGTTCATCTTTTCTTTCTTCCTGCACAAACGTAATATCCACAGGAGTATTGGTCATGTGGAATGTTAGGTTTGGGTCCTGTTTGGCCTGATAACCATTAGAACTATTGCCTTCTGTATCAACAGTATACGACACATTCAGCGAGCCTCTCTGAAACACTTCATTGTCTATACTTCCCTGTACAAAGTCATCTCCGCCATATGTTTTATCATTCTCATCTACTTGACAATCTTCTAGATGAAACGCTTCAGATTCAATTGTCTGAGTGACATTGATATTTTCACATTGGCTCTTTACATTTGTTTTGTTTTCTTTATAAAAAAACGTTTTTGGAGGGGGTATCTTCCTCCTGTGATCATCTAGACGGTTTTCTGCATCTACATCTTTAGGTGGATAAAACTTTCCAGTTTGTAATGGAAACTTTGATAGTACCTTCGGCGCAGGAAGTTTTGACTTAGCTTGTACTGAATCTACGGTTTGTTCAGGTTCTCTCAAAGTTCCACTATCAGGTAGATTGTGAGGCAAACATATTTTTTCTACTTTCTTTATAGGGGCAAATATTCCATAATTGTCCTCACAAGAAAAATACCTGATACCCTTGACTGATCCATCGTTTTTACCAACTGGTTCGAAAAGTTCGACCCCACACCATATCCCAATTTGAAATTCAACAGGTCCAAAAAAGCGCAAAACCCCTCGTTTCGCTCCTCCCACACACACACGCTGGCCAATCCACTCATTCCATTTAGAAAACAACTCGGAATCAACCGGTGAAGGTGTTTTCTCAGAAGGTGTTTTTGATGTCTCATCTACATGAACAATCCCATTTCCGAAGTCGATACCACTGCCAGATGAATGGGCCCCAGGTTTTGGTATTAAACTCTTTGGTCTCATTCCTAACCCAGAAGGAGGAGGGATCTGGCTTCCCTTTCTTCTTTCTGGAGGCTAAAAAATTTAAAAATAAAAATCAAACAACTGAATTTTTCATAACATAGAAGTGCAAATTTACAGCATAGTGACGAAGGAACATACAGAAACCTGTAGAACTGAGCAACAATTATTTACGATATATAACAGCAACTAAGAAAACAACTCTGAGATTGAGAAGACAAATCAACAGAAAACTAATATTTCTAGCCAAACAACACAAATTTCTGAAACAAAATATATTTAAGTATCAACTCATCGATTAATGAGTAAGACATACACAAGTCCTATAGCTTCATCCCCCATCCTCAAAACACACACTTTATCTTCACTGTGATGTATAGTAATTAGGCCAAGACTATCTAAATAAAACGTGACTCACCATTAGAACACAACACAAGAAAACATGGTTCCTTTTCAACCTGACAAAAAATGTTTACTTTTGACGAAAAACATGAAAGTCTGATACTTCTCACTTTTAAGTGTTAACTGTTACTTGGTTTCACCAATAAGTCAGTTTGTGAATATCTGTTCATTCAGTGTTCTTGTCTAATAGACACACTTCATGCAACGTTACGTGAAAAAGAATACTCGCTTCCGCAGGAGAGTTGCCAGAGGTTGGAGTTGTGTTGCTATTCAGGGATCTCCAGGGGATGGATGCGCGTAGCTTGGCTCGTGCGCTCGCATCACATAAACAGTACCACTCAAAAGTGGTTACGACAGCAACAGGCTGCCAAACGAGGTAATAAGAAGCGGGTAATCGATCATCAGGGTCAAATTAGGCAAGGTATGTGTATTTATCATATAGATGATTACGCCGGTGTATCAATCCGGCCTTGGCAGGAAAGGTTTGCAAACCAACTGGAAATTTATCAATACAAGACTGCAGCCACTAGGGTTAATTCTACCAGTAAAATCTGATTTGTGTACTAGTTTTTACCTTGGTACAAGCTCCCTGGATATCCATGTTTAGATCTTCAGCGAAAACAAGGTCACCGCCGCTTAATATATATATATATTTTAACCTCACAATACATTTGCAACCACAACAACAAACAGCGTTGTTGTCGCCCGGAAAACTGACAATACCATAATGACTTTTTTTCACATTCAATTTTTTTTTTCTTAAGATATTTTTCGGATAATTCAGACTGGAAAAAAAATTGTTCTTGTTGCACCTTTCAGCTTTAAGAGGACAAACACTTAGACTGATAAGATTTGTAGATTGTATTTATGTGCACTGAAAAAAAGAAAGACCGAACTTGACAGGTGATTGCAAAAGAAACAAAAACCAAAAGCAGATAGTTGAAAGCTCACTTAATCCAAAACAAAACTAAAACCAACAGAAGATAGTTTAAAGCTCGCTTAATACAAAACTAAAACCAACAGAAGATAGTTTAAAGCTCGCTTAATACAAAACTAAAACCAACAGCAGATAGTTTAAAGCTCGCTTAACACAAAACTAAAACCAACAGAAGATAGTTT